CGTCTTACCTATGGACGCTACTCATATCTTATTAGGTAGATCATGGTTATGACTTAGATGTGACCAGTTTTGAGAGGCCAAAACACATACATTCAAGTTTAATGGAAAAAAGATTGTGTTAACTCCCTCCAAACCCAAAGCAACCTCAAATAATAAGAATTGGTCGGTCACTATCAAGGCTGGTAAGAAGCTTGTCCATCTCTTAGGCAAGTGTCAGTTTCTTAAGAAGAGCAAGAAGGAAGGGGTTGTCTATATGATAGCCACTAGCTTTGCCTTTGCTAGTGAGTCTTTAGATTTCTCCCCTAAAGTTTGTCAAATCCTCACTGATTTTAGTAATGCCTGCCTGATAAGGTGCTTGATGAATTTCCTCCCCTTAGAGACATCCAGGATGCCATAGATTTAGTGTCGGGGTACACATTACCCAACTTACCACACTATAGGAGAAACCCAACAGAGCATACTGAGGTTAGGCGCCAGATAGATGAGTTATTGCGAAAGGGCTTTATTAGAGAGTTCGAGTCCTTTTGTCGTTCCCATATTGCTCATCCTAAGAAAGATGGCAGCGGGAGGATAGATAGTAGTCCATCAACAAAATCACAATCAAGTATAGGTTTCCTATTTCTAGGCTTGATCTTTTAGACATGATAGTGGGGTCTCGTATCTTCACGAAGGTAGATCTTCGTATTGGGCAACATCAGATCTGCATCCGCGAAGGCGATGAATGTACGACTGACTTTAAGATTGAGGACAGATTATGTGAGTGGTTGGTCATGCTTTTTAGACTATCAAATACTCCTAGCACTTTTATGAGAATTGTGACTTAAGATTTGCATCTTTTCTTAGGCCAGTTTGTGGTCGTCTACTTTGACGACATCTGATCTTTAGTCGAACCCAAGAGGAAAATCTTCTTCACTTGACACAGGTTTTTAGACTCTCTGAAAGAAAAAAATTTGTCTATTTGAAGAAGTGTGCTTTCTTTCATATCATCATCGGTGCACTTTTTAGGGTCTGTTACTATTGACGATGTAGCAACAGACCCCGACAAGGTCAAGGCCATTCAGGTGGCTTACTCCTAGTACAATTCATGAGGCCAGGAGTTTCCATGGGTTGGCTACTTTTTATAATGTGTTCGTTTAAGAGGTTTGGTACCATTATGATTATCATCACGAGTTGTCTTAGGAAAGGGGAGCTTGAATGGTCTAAATCTGCTCCTAGAGCTTTCGAAGAGATTAAGGAGAGGCCGACTATTACCCTAGTCCTTTGCCTTCCTGACTTCTCGAACGTATTTGAGGTAGCTTGTGTCGCTTCGGGAGTAGGTATTGGAGGCATGTTGAGTCAATAGGGTCATCCTATCGCTTTCCTCCACTAAAAGTTGAATGAAGCTTGATAACGCTATTCCAATTATGGCCGAGTTTTATGTTGCAATACAGAGTCTGTGATATTGGCATCACTATTTACTACCTTCAGAGGTCATCTTATACTCCGACCATTAGGCCTTATGGTACTTGAATTCTCAAAAGAAGTTAGGCTCACCAACATGTCAATTTTAGGTTGAGTTTATACAGGAAACACTTTTGTTCTCAAACATTGTGCAAGTGTTAAGAACAAACCACTCACGCTTTGAGTAGAAAGGTCGCTAGTTTGCAGTCCATGAGTGCACAGGTGGTAGGATCTGATCGAGTCATTCAGGACTACCCTACTTGTCAGGACTTTGGTGAGATTCATGCCTCTTTGACATAGGACTCTCCTATCATTGTAGTAGGTTTCATCATTAGTGATGTTTCCTCTTTAGGGGAAGTCGTTTGTGTATTCCCAACACCTCCTTTGTGATCATCTGATTTCGAAAATGTATGCAGGAGCCTCTGGATCTTTGGCCGAGATAACACGATGATATTAGTTGAGAATAGATTTTATTGGCCAAGTGTCAAGCAATATATAGCGAGAGTTCACACGGTCAAATCTATCAGGGGTAAGGGTAGGAAGTAGAACATAGGTTTATATATCCATCTACCTATACCTTTTGCTCCATGGCAGGATGTTAGCATAGACTTCGTTTGAGGTCGCACGTTTAGGAAGCACGATTCGATATTGGTTGTAGTGGATCGCTTTTCTAAGATAGCACATTTCATACCTTATAACAAAACTACAATTGCTTCCCATGTCGCACACTTCATTCTTAAAGATGCAGTTCAGTTGCATCCTCTTTCTAAGACTATTGTTTCAGATAGAGATGTGAGGTTCACGATCCACTTCTAGAGGACACTCCAAAGGAAGCTCAACACTTCATTACAATTTTTCGATGGCTTACAATCTCCAGACTAATGAGCAAATTGAGGTGGTGAGCCGCCGTCTAATAGACTTATTACGGTGTCTAGTTGGTGATCATGTGTCTAAATGGGATTTGGTGTTGCCTATGACAGAGTTTGCATATAATTGTACGGCTAATAGGGGTTGAGTCCATTTGAGATTATTATAGGTTACTGACCTAGGAAATCTGTAGACTTGCTACTAGTCCCATCAGGAGTTAGACTTAGTGCTTCAATCGAGTCCTTTACACAACATTTGCATAATTTGTACAATGATATTCGTAGACAGATAGCAATAAACAATGATAATATAAGTTTGCTACAGATTCTCATAGACGATTGCACGAATTTTCGATTGGAGGCATGGTTATGCTTAGGTTTCCACCTAAGAGGTTCCCTGGAGGAGCTACAAGGAAACTGCATACCCGATGTATAGATCCATTTCAAGTTCTAAGGAATATTGGTTCAAATGCATATGAGTTGGACATCCCATAGGATTTTGGCATCAGCCCCCTTTTCAACATCGAGGATTTGACTCCATATCATGCACCTATGGACTATCCGACAACAATCCCAAAGCTTACACCCATAGATTCAGCAATATCACAACAGATTCTAGCTCCACCATCTATGCAGCGAATAGACGTCCACCATAGGAGAGTGAGGATATTCTGCAGGACGAGATTATATCGACAACAGATGGCGGTTTTCAGAGATATATAGCTCGTTGGCACAATGACCTGATTCAATCTGCACTTAGCTACAGACTGAGGACATTGAGCAACTCAACCCGGATGTACTAGATGCTTAGCATCGCCATCATTCACCAGAGGCGAATGCTTTGCTACCTGACATGAACAATGCTCTTGCCTTCACGACATATAATGCAAAAGCACTTGACACTCTAAACAAGTGTTATTTCACCACATTATCAAGAAAGTGTGGTCTCAACGAATGCATTCAAGGTTTTTATATTTATAAACTATTTGTGCCTGTTATGGCATCCTACTAGGAACACAAACCATTATCATTTTCACCAAAATTATTCATAACAACATCACTGATGAAAAGCCTTAAATCACTGTTGCTGATTTTTTTAACACAATTTCTACCACGTAGTACTTTATCGGTCTATGAAACCTATTGCATTAAACAAGTAAAACCTAAATTATTCTGTAATTTCAACTTTAGCTGCAATACTTATGTACCAATTAGAGTGATCTTGAAATGCTATTAATGATATCATGAAAACACTACGTATGAATTTTAATGAGTATTAGAGCACATTTGGCAAAGGATCAAAGTGGTTTATTAGCCCCTTTATATATTTGACAAGTGGCCTATTTTGGCTTATAACCCATCAAAAAATAAACGAGGGGTCATGAGTTATGACCAAGTAAAAAACAATTATACACCTTATGATTCACAAAATATAAGGTCTCATTTAATAATTCGCCACCAATCCTTATTAATAAAGTGATTATCTGTTAATAAGGAAAATTCAACACGCCTTCAATTCTGATAAAAAGAATAGCTCCTCAATAAAAACTTGCCTGGACAAATTTTCAAAACAGTCCCATTTGCAAAAATATTCCCAAAAAACGACTCATTTTGAAAAATTCTTCAAAACCGAAAAATCTTTCGAAACTTCACGGGACTCGAAGTCCCGTGAAGTTTAGCAACTAGGTAATTAGGCTGCGTAATATCACGGGACTTTAAGTCCCGTAAAATTTATTTCCCTTGTGAGATTTCACGGGACTTCAAGTCCCGTGAAATTTATTTCCCTTCCTCAAGCTTTCCCTTCTCCCTTCTTCTTTATATATTCACCACCGACATTGAAGGTGAATATATCTATTTATTTCCCTTCTCCAATCACTAATTTAGGCATAAGCAACCAAAATCCACCATCAAACATCCAAACAATGAAGGAGAAAAAATCATCATCAACAACAACAAAGGTGAATAAATATCTACCGACCGGTGAGATCGCCGGTGATGAGGACGAGGGAAGGCTTGATCATGGAGAGGGCGGGGCCACCAGCCTCTTGAAATCTTGAGCTCTCTCAGGGTGGAAGACGCTGAAGTGGAGATCCGACAGCTGGACCACCCACACCACTGACTGGGGCCTACCCTCGACGTCGATCACGCTCCTCCTCTCCCTCTCGCTATTGTTGGATTCGGATAAGGGAACAGAGGCAAAGGAGAGCAGCAGAAGAAACGAATATGGAGAAACCATCCATTTTGATCTCGACATTTCGGACTCGAACTCCTCCAATCTTAGAAGAAGTCTCGTGAAATCTCACTAAGGGAAATAAATTTCACGGGAGTTGAAGTCTCGTGAAATTTGTTTGAACTATAACACTTCACGGGACTTGAAGTCCCGTGAAGTTTAGCAGCTTATTAAATGACTACTAAACTTCACGGGACTTCAAGTCCCGTGAAGTTTCATAAATTTTTTCTTCAAAACCGACCCAGTTTCAGCCTGACGGCTGAAACTGGGTCGGTTTTGAAGGGTTTTTTTCAAAATAGGTCGTGTTTTAGAAATATTTTTGCAAATGGGGCTGTTTTGAAAATTTGTCCAAACTTGCCTGGGAAATTCTGATAATATCTATATCAGTGTATAATTGCTAAAACAACAAATCATCCTTTGCCATAATAAGATATTAAAAACAAACAATAAGTAGGTATTCTTACCATAAGCTTGGCAGGATCTGTACTTGACCCATCAATGATTTCAATTCTCCCACCTATTCTAAACTGCTCCCAAGAATCTGCAAAGTACCAGCATATCTAAAAAGACCCAAAAAAAGAACAAATATAAACATAACAAACATTAGGAAAGTGCTCCAATTACCAAAACACCAAGCCATAGAATCAGACACAGCCAATCTTTTGATTACTACCCCAAGAACACATGATTACCTCGCCAAATGGGCAATGCCTAATTTCTTCAATCTGTGCAAATTTCACACAAAAAATCACAAAAAAGCCCAAAATTTGAGTTGGGTCTCTAAACTAACTGAAGAAAAAGAAGGGGAAAAGGATGTAACCTTGTTAGTTCGAGTATCCGTATTGATCTGAATCTTATCAGTCCCCTCCTGAAATCCTCTGCAATAAACAAGAGATTTAAATAACAAAACAACAAAGGGGAAGAAAGAAAATTGAGTGGGACCTGAAGACCACAGTGCGATTTGATGGTCTGCCGTTTGAAGCCATAGTGGCCTGCAAATAAAAAACCAAAATGAAAGAGCAAAGAAATTGACAAATAATTGACAGAAAAGAGATGATTGAAGTGTGTACGAGCTGGAAGTAGGTTGAGTTTTTGAGGTGAGCATTGGACTCTAAGGCGGCCAAGAGCAGGGGCTTCCAAGATCCTGAAGACGCCATTACCCTTTCTCCCCTTTGCTTTCTGCTGAGAATTCACGCGGTCCAGCTGTCTTCTTTACCTTGTTAAGAGCAAGCGATCCTTCAGGGGTTTTTTCTCCATAGTAGTCCCTCAAATTTCATATTTTGAAACTAGTTCCATAGATGCTTTTTATGTATTCTGAATTAGGCCATTTGATATTTTAAAATTAGTCCTCCTAATATTTTGTATGCTTGAGAATTAGTCCCTCTAGTTAGCACAGTTAAAATACTTAGCGGACTTATTTTAAATATTTAATAAATTTGGAGGACTAATTCAAAAGATGAAATTTTTTGGGCGCATTTCAAAACACTTAAAGATTCAGGGGACTAATACAAAATACCAAGATATAGGGAACTAATTTTAAAATGATTTTTTTACATATTTGTCACATAAATCTTCAATAATTTAATATTAGTTCCTCAAATATAGAAAATTGCATATAGATCCCTCGAATCCTATAAGGTCACGTAAAAGGGTCCTCTGTAAGTATTTCATTTAAAAAAACTCTAATCATGATTGGATTAACTCCTAAAACAACATCTGCAATCAGCAAACTAACCATCCCTCCGATGTTTGAAGCCTTTATTGAGCTATTGAGTTAGGGTTATTTTCAAATCTTTGGAGAAGAACTCAGGGTAGATTAGGGTTTTTTTAAAACCCATTTAGAAATTGGTTGGGAAATATAATAGAGGTGTAAAATTTTTACTTTGCCTCAAATAGTTAGTTTTGATAGAATGCTACCCTCAAATCTAACACAATTTAACTTGGAGGACCATTATGCAAAACACTGTACGGTTTAAGGGACAAATATGCAATTTTTACGACTTGAGGGACTAATATGCAATTTTTAAAGATTAAAGGGGCTAATATCTAAAAAAACCCTTTCAAAATATGAAACAGTAGGGACTAATATTGAAACCCCCATCAACAAAAATAAGGGCAAATTTCACCAGCACCCCTACCCCCCGCCACATCAAATAAAAAAAATAAAACCCTCGTTAAACCCCTAATATAATTAGGAATATCATAAAACTTTCAAAATATTTTGATTTTTTTATGCCTATTTTATGATGTTTATGTGATATTCTTTGCGTGGGAATTCAAAAAATGGTCTTACATCGTTATAGGGGTTTTTTTAATCGAAAAACAGGGGTAGAACCTCGTTCATTAAAATATCAAGAATCCAAAAGATTGTATAGTTACAAAAGTAAGACACGAACTGTGTCCAAAATGTTGGAAAATAGAAAATGAAATTTCTACTAGTAGTGATGTATAACTTTCTTCATCCAAAGATCCATGAAGATGAAGAGAGGGCCTTGCCGTCATTCACCGTTGACACAGATTTAAGGATGAACCAAAGCCAGCCATACATGTGCATAGTAGAAATTTAATTTTCTATAGTCAACATATGAAAGATAAGGAACAGATATATACACAACAAAAACTACATAAAAGATGAATCAAAAAGTCCTCCATCTTCAGACACTTGCTCGAGAGAGAGGAAAATCTTCAAATCTTGCAGAGAGTTCCTTTGCCGCAACACCTCTTCCATTATCTGACCAATCATATAAGCCAAAAACCGACTGATTAATAATCTTCTTGTAAGAAAAAGTAGTTTTTGTCAAAAATTGATTTGTTCCTACTGATCCAAATGTTCCAGCAGATATATGAAAAAAGCTGCGCCAAATATAACCAACTCGACCATGAAGCTTATTAACAGTTAATAAAAGATCTTCAAAAGATGATGGCCATGGGAAAGGGAGATAGTAATTCTTAAAATGTGTCCAAACTTGTGCAGATAATGAGCAGGAGAAAAATAAGTGGTCCCTGTTTTCCTGATGAAAGCCACAAAAGATACACATTGGATCTCCTGTCCATCCTTTTAGCAAGAGGTTATCCTTTGTGTGAAGTTTATTATTGCATAATAGCCAGATAAAGAAATTGATTTTTGATGGGATTGAGTTCTTCCATATAACTTTGAAATGAGGTGATAAGGAGCCTCTCTGGATGAGGAACTGGTAGAAGGATTTCACTGTGAAAATACCAGATTTAGAAAGCAACCAGACAGGATTGTCAGATTGATGACAAATATCAAAATTTCTCAAAAAATTCAAGAGATCAGTTTTGTCAGATTGAGAACAAAGAGAAATGCATCTCCGCAATAGAGGACTCCAATGCCAATTAGAGTCTATCAGAAGAGCTTGACTGCAGATAGGAACATTTGAAGAGAAAGCTAGATTATAAAGAGAAGGGTAGAGGCTTGCCAGAGTGTTTAAACCTGTCCACTTATCTTCCCAAAAGCGAATCTTATCACCTTCACCAAGAGTCCATGAAATATTATGAAGAAATTCATCTTTCAGAGATATTATAGCATTCCAGAATGATGAAAATGATGGTGATGAGTGAATCATTTGAAAAGATAAACCCCTGTTGCAATACAGTTGGCGAAGAAAACCTCCAGTATATGAATGTTGATCTAGGCATTTCCAGAGCCATTTTGAAAGCAGAGCATTGTTGAAAACACGTATGTCCTTTACTCCTAGTCCACCCTCTAATTTGCTTAAACATACTTTTTTCCAGTTAACTAGGCATTTGAAACCACTAGCTCTTTCAGCTCCCTTCCATAAGAAGCCCTTCCTAATTTTATCAATATTTTTGATGACCCAGTTTGGAAAGCTGTAGAAAGACATGAAGTATAAAGGAATAGAAGTAAGCACTGAGTTTAGTAGGACTAATTTTCCTCCATATGATAAAAAATTCCTCTTCTAAGATGCAAGCTTCTTATGAAGATTGTCAAAGATAGGTTGCCAATCAGATTTCTTCAACTTTCCATATTTCAGAGGCATACCTAAATATTTAATAGGAAGAGAGTCTGCTTTGCAACCAAGGGAATTAGATTCAGAGGCATACCTAAATATTTAATAGGAAGAGAGTCTGCTTTGCAACCAAGGGAATTAGATAAAAGATGCTTTTTCATAGCTATTTTTCCAAAGTAAACAAGGGAAGATTTGGAATAGTTGATTGCCAATCCTGAGACATCCTCAAAAAAATAAAGAATCATTTTCAGGACAGAAATGTCCTTAGAAGAGCTCTTAACAAATAGGAGTGTATCATCTGCAAATTGTAGGATTCTTAACTGATTGAGGGGTGGCTTAATACCAAGATTTGATAAGATTCCATCTTCGACATTGTTATGTATCATCTTGTGTAAAACATTCACTGCTATATTGAAAAGCATTGGAGATAAAGGATCTCCTTGCTTAAGACCCCTCTTGCAAGAAAAGAATTTTAAAGGTAAACCATTAACTTTAATAGAACACTGAGAAGAAGATATAATATGATAAATCCATGTGCACCACTACCATTAACTTTAATAGAACACTGAGAAGAAGATATAATATGATAAATCCATGTGCACCACTTAATTCCAAACCCTCTAGCTTTGAGTATGATAAATCCATGTGCACCACTTAATTCCAAACCCTCTAGCTTTGAGCAAGCTAATTAGAAAATTCCAGTTGATAGAATCAAATGCTTTGGTGAAATCAAGCTTTAGCATGGCAACTTCACTTTTCCTTTTAGAACAAAAATGAATCATCTCATTAGCCATGACAATGGAATCGAGAGTTGATTTTCCTGACTGAAAGGCTGATTGGGTGTGAGAAACTAAATCAGGAAGAAGAGGAGCCAGTCTGTTAGCAATCACCTTAGAAAAAATTTTGAAAATGCAGTTTATAAGACTGATTGGTCTGAAATCCTTCACTAGTACACTATCTTTGATTTTTGGAATAAGTGTGATGAAGACTTTGTTCACCCTACATAAGCTAGATGGATTGAGTTGGAGAAAAGTCATCAAATTTATCAAATCATACTGGATAACTTCCCAAAAAGTCTGGTAAAAAGCCATAGAAAAACCATCAGGGCCTGGAGCTTTGTTGGCATTCATACCAAACACTGCTTTTTTGATTTCATCTTCTGAGAAGGTATCTTCTAAGGAGGTAAGATTAACATCTTCTTGAGGATATAGCTGAGACCAGTTCATACTTATGCTAGAATTTGAATCCCTACCAAAAATTGATAAGAAGTATTCACAAAAAGCATTGGAGATATCTTTTTCATTTGACAGATCTTTTCCTTGATGATTAATGGAAGTAATGAAGTTTACATTCCTATGGAAAGTAGCAGTCTTATGGAAAAAAGCCGTATTTGCATCTCCCTCCTTCAACCATTGGATTCTTGATCTCTGATGCCAATAAGTTTCTTCTTCTAGAAGAATAGAAGAGAAGGAGGATTGAAGAGACTTCCTATCATGGAATTCTGAATCAGTTAAAGGCCTTTGTTCCTCCAACAGATCAAAGGAGTTGATTTTAGATAGAAGCTCATCTTTCCTAGAAGCAATTGAACCAAGACAATTCTTTTTCCACCATTTTATTCTTCTTTTGGTAAGATTGAGTTTTGAAATGAAAACATCTACAGGACTTCCGTGACACCGGAAAGAGTTCCAGCAACTTGTAATGAAAGGAATGAAATCTGGATTCTGCAGCCAACTTCTTTCGAATCTAAAAATAGGAGGTGCATGATGGAGATCTGAACTATCTAGAACAATAGGGGAATGATGTGAGCCCAAAGCAGTAGGGGAAAATTGCAAGGTAGATGGAAATTTTTTGTCCCATTCAGAGCTAACAAGAAACCTGTCCAGTCTTGCTAGAGAAGGAGATAAACGTTTATTAGACCAAGTATATGATCTACCTGATAGGGGAAGATCATAAAGAGATAAATTTTCAATGAAATCTCTGAATGAGTTAATGTCTCTATATGAACCCATTCCGCCATTTCTCTCATCAGCATGCAAGGTAACATTAAAATCACCACAAAGCACACATGGCCCATTAAAAGAAAATCTTATTCGATTAAGCTCCCACCAACAAACTTCTCTATCTTCCCTCTCATTTGGGGCATAAACTGATGTAAAAGAGAAACTCCATTTTGAATGTTTATGAAGAAGAGAAACAGTGACAGAGAAGATACCAACATATGATTTGATTAAGGAGAAAGAGTCTGACCAACCAACTAGAACTCC